GGGTAACGTCAACAAGCGCACCATGCACAAATATGAGCAGGAGTCAAAAAAGGCAGGAAAAGCTTCATTCGCCTACGCCTGGGTTCTGGATGAAACTGGGGAGGAGAGGGACAGGTACAAGTGCATACAAAGTGTAAAGAAAATGGTGACAAACACGCGTGTTTGATTTTGAGCATATTTAAACAAACACAATATTGGTTATTCTTCATATCATCTTCATTTTGAAGACAAATTAGACAAATAAGATTTTCTGTGATTACAAAGACAAATCTTTTGCCAGGCTGCACATTTTTTGCACTGCTAAGCAATGGCAACTTAATTAGATATTACATGTGAAAAGATTCAGAAAAAAATGTTTGTTTATTAGGAGTTTTTTTTTATTTAAAAGCTCAACCGTGTGATTCTGGTCACATTTATCATGGGCAGTGTGCCGCTCGCTGTTCTAAGACTGTCCCTGCTTGCTCTCTCTGTTACGAGAGTGAAACGGAAGTGAAATGTTGCAGAAACAGAAAGTGTCTTGGGTGGGAACATGCAGACACTTATCACTAACTTCTGAAGTAGATTCATAATATCGGAGAGCCCCACCCAACAGTGAATATTGATAATGGAAGAAAAAAAAACAGATTTGTACTTTAATCTTCATAATACGTCTATCAGATGTATTAATACTTTATGAGCAGCATTCTCCACCTACATACAGATGCAGATAAATTTGTTGGTACCCTTCCACGATTGTAAAATACACAACTGATGTGATGCATTTGGATGAATTCCAGTGAGACTGTTTTGTGTTTTTTATGCCAATAATGGAGCCCTCTTGGGTCTTCTTCCATGAAACCATTATGATTCAAAATGCATCAGATGGTGTGATCAGAAAGTGACCTTCATTGAACTTAGGGTTCGGCTTGAATAGGTTTTGAATGGTTTCCTTGATTTTTCCCACCATCTGCACTATCCGTTTGATTAAACCGGGGTTGCATTTCCTCTTGCGTCCACGTTCTGGGAGGTTGTCCACAGTTTTATGAACCTTATACTTTTTAATAATATTGTCAACTGTGGTCACATCAGCATGAAGCTAATGTTGTAGCCTTTAGCTTTAATCTGGATTATCTATTATATTCTTTCTGAGCTCCTCAGACAGGTCTTGCCTTTGCTTTCTCTGCTCCATGTTCAGTGTGATGCTCACAACAATGCTAAACTACACAAGAGCTGTTTGTTCCTAATAAATAGGTTGAATGTCAGATAGAAAGCTTAAAGCCACCTTTGACACTAATTAAGGTCAAAAGCCTTTTTTGATTAACCTTTATTTAACCAGGCAAATCCCATTGAGATCACAGATCTCTTTTGCAAGGGAGGCCTGGGCCTGAATCAACCTAACTTGCATGTTTTTGGTCTGTGGGAGGAAACTGGAGTACCCAGAGAAAACCCACGCAAGCACAAGAAGAACATGCAAACTCCATCCAGAAAGAATCCAGGTCCAACCGGGGATTGAACCTAGGACCTTCTTGCTGTGAGGCAACAGTGCTAACCACTGAGCCGTCGTGCTGCCCAAATATTTTTTTTTAACATGACTATCATACAAAGTCTCTTTAAGGTTACAAACAAATGTGTTTGTGCTATTTTAGTACATCTTTGTAAAATGAAAACAACTCATTTTATGTCACAAATTGTTTACGTGATCACTAAAGGCATGCAGGCGTTAGATAAATGCTTTTCACTGAATCACTTCGTAAGAAAAATGAATCATCTTTTCAGTGAGCTGTAAAAGTACCAACAACTGTATCTAGGTGTTTGTGTTTATATTTTTCCCATTTGTATTGATCATTTTAACATCTGCATGTTTTGTTTTTGTTGTGTGTGTTCCTCTAGAGGTGTGACGATGGACGTGGGCATGACAAAGTTTGAGACGAACTCCAAAGTGGTGACTCTGATGGACGCACCGGGACACAAAGACTTCATTCCCAACATGATAACAGGCGCTGCACAGGTACAACAAGCAAACCTCAATGAGAACATTGCATAAAGCTTTAAAGCCAGTGAATGTTACTGAAGCACACAGGAAGTACAGTTATGGTCTATAAATGACTGGAAAGGACAAGAGACTAATTTTTAAGTGTTATGGTTCAAAGGAGTTTTAAATCCATTAAAACCATAACAGATGAACTGGGAGGAAAATCTTAAAAATATTTATTTTATGTGAGTTTGCTCACTGTGGTGACCCCTGCAGAAGGTAACAGCTGAAAGAAAATTAATAGCATTGATTTACAAATGGATCATATCGCTCTTTGAACCTCAGTTGGAAAAATGGTTTTTATTTCTGACTGGAATCGACTAACAAGTAGTCTGAGATAGGCAAGTTCTGCCATCTTAAAACAACTCTAGGTCGTTTTCACACCAGATAGTCCGGTAGACTTGGTTCGGTTCGGGACCAATATTCATGACCTTTTGTTTACATTTGAGCTGGTGCGTTTGCATTCACACTGTGCAGTCGAGTCAACCTGTACAACCAACCTGTTCCCCCGCTCGCCTGTGGGGGTGCTGCAGCAACAACTACTGAAAGAAACGACACAAAAACCTCTGAAGACACTTGTTCTTCTTCTTCTTCTGTAAATAAAAACAAAAACGAAGTGGCATCAAGTTTTAGCAGTTTTAAGAGTTATATTTTGTCATTTTTCAAAAATGGACTTGGCATGAGCAGAAGATGAGACAGAAGACCATGGAGAATATTGTTTTTCACACAAGGCAGCTGACGGCTCCATATAAGGTCAGAGAAATGCGTGTTTGTTTGTCCTGCGGAGCGGGGCCCGGTCTGTTTACATTCACACTGCACTCGAACCGCGCTGGAGTTCGCTTCTACCGGACCGAGACCTAGGTTTTAGCCCGGGCCAGAGTTCGCCTTTTTGTTCCGTGACAGAGTTCGATGGCGCGTTCACACCTCCCTAAACAAACAGGACTTTCAAGGAAAATGAGCTAGAGTTCGATTAAAGCGGACTAAACAGGGCTAGTGTGAATGCACCCTTAGTCTCAAAAATATGCACAGTGGTGTTTGTGAAAGTGACTTTATAAATCTTCATCAATAAGGCGTTTCATTGATTTTATATAGGATTTATATCCTATATATATTTAAATAGGGCCAATCCACTTTGGTCTAATCCTCGCTGACTATTCAAGTTGTGTTTACTTGTCATATGCAGGTTAACACAGGGTTAACAGTATAATGAAATGCTTAGGATGAGAAGAACCGATTTGACTCGCTAAAAAAAATTAAAGAACAAACAAACAAACAAACAAGAAATGCTAGAAGCATGCAATAAGTACAAAAATAAAGTACCAAAAGGTGGAAAAGTAGTTGTAATATTTTCAACATCCTAAAGAGAGCTATTAAACAACAACATGGTAGAATATAATGGTGCAAGCAGGATTAATTTAAATGAATAAGTATTTCAAGGTAGTAATATAAGCTAAAATGCACATATTGCACATAATTAACATATACTACACGATTAGCCATTAGCTCTTCAGTTTGCTCAGAGTTAAACTGTTGTTTTCAAACTGAACCTGTTCAAAGAGCTTTCTCAACATATTAATTCTTCATGGCCAGTCCACAGAGCCCCTCTTCAAAAGATGTGAACTATCCCTTTAATTGATCCTCAAAGATCTCTTTGACACACACCTTTTGATTAAAATGGTGTCCACCCCACCCTCTGCTCCGTACACCGACATCCCGCCTCACCCTTCACTTCATTGTTTGTGGTTTGGGTGTGGGCGTCACAAGGTGTTTTTTTATTTTGGGTGTGCTCGACTGTCACTATTTTAGAAAATTGGTGTAATTTATCTTTTTACAATATGACTGTCATCTCAGTCGACCTCATTCGTGTAGTGAATAAGGGGTTTCTGTTTGAGGTAAACCCCTTCGTCATGATCTGTGCGGCTTCTGATGATGGTTTTGTCTCACGTTAGCTCCAGTAAATTGCAAAAGTTCTAATAAGTTGAAGTTTTATAGGTAAATCCAATGACTATTTTGAGAGTTTTACTAAAATCTGTTCTCTTATACAGTGCCTTGCAGAAGTATTCACCCCCTTGAACTTTTCAACCTTTTGCCACATTTCAGGCTTCAAAAATAAAGATATAAAATTTAAATTTTTTGTGAAGAATCAACAACAAGTGGGACACAATCGTGAAGTGGAATGAAATTTATTGGATGTGTCAAACTTTTTTAACAAATAAGAAACTGAAAAGTGGGGCGTGCAATATTATTTGGCCCCCTTGCGTTAATACTTTGTAGCGCCGCCTTTTGCTGCAGTTCCAGCTGCAAGTCTCTTGGGGTATGTCTCTATCAGTTTTGCACATGGAGACACTGAAATTCTTGCCCATTCTTCTTTGCAAAACAGCTCGAGCTCAGTGAGGTTGGATGGAGAACGTTTGTGAACAGCAGTCTTCAGCTCTTTCCACAGATTCTCGATTGGATTCAGGTCTGGACTTTGACTTGGCCATTCCAACACCTAGATACTACCTAGATATTTGTGAACCATTCCATTGTAGATTTGATTTTATGTTTTGGATCATTGTCTTGTTGGAAGATAAATCTCCGTCCCAGTCTCAGGTCTCTTGCAGACTCAAACAGGTTTTCTTCCAGAATGGTCCTGTATTTGGCCCCATCTATCTTCCCATCAAGTCTGACCATCTTCCCTGTCCCTGCTGACGAAAAGCAGGCCCAAACCATGATGCTGCCACCACCATGTTTGACAGTGGGGATGGTGTGTTCAGGATGATGAGCTGTGTTGCTTTTACGCCAAACATATCATTTTGCATTGTGGCCAAACAGTTTGATTTTGGTTTCATCTGACCAGAGCTCCTTCTTCCACATGTTTGGTGTGTCTCCCAGGTGCTTGTGGCAAACTTTAAACAACACTTTTTATGGATATCTTTGAGAAATGTCTTTCTTCTTGCCACTCTTCCATAAAGGCCAGATTTGTGCAGTGTACGACTGATTGTTGTCCTATGGACAGACTCTCCCACCTCAGCTGTAGATCTCTGCAGTTCATCCAGAGTGATCATGGGCCTCTTGGCTGCATCTCTGATCAGTCTTCTCCTTGTTCGAGATGAAAGTTTAGAGGGACGGCCGGGTCTTGGTAGATTTGCAGTGGTCTGATACTCCTTCCATTTCAATATGATTGCTTGCACAGTGCTCCTTGGGATGTTTAAACCTTGGGAAATCTTTTTGTATCCAAATCCGGCTTTAAACTTCTCCACAACAATATCTCGGACCTGCCTGGTGTGTTCCTTGGTCTTCATGATGCTCTCTGTGCTTTGAACAGAACCCTGAGACTATCACAGAGCAGGTGCATTTATACGGAGACTTGATTACACACAGGTGGATTCTATTTATCATCTTCAGTCATTTGGGACAACATTGGATCATTCATAGATCCTCACTGAACTTCTGGAGTGAGTTTGCTGCACTCAAAGTAAAGAGGCCAAATAATATTGCACGCCCCACTTTTCAGTTTTTTATTTGTTAAAAAAGTTTGACACATTCAATAAATTTCATTCCACTTCACGATTGTGTCCCACTTGTTGATGATTCTTCACAAAAAATAAAAATTTTATATCTTTATGTTTGAAGCCTGAAATGTGGCAAAAGGTTGAAAAGTTCAAGGGGGCCGAATACTTTCGCAAGGCCCTGTAGCCACACAGAAAGAAAGGTGATGAGATTTGCAGACACTTGTCTAAGCGCAGCTCTTTCAGGTCCTGTCCGTGTTTTACTCATCGGTCTGGACCTGGACTGGGTCCGTGCATCGCTTCTCTCTCAGACATTTGGTTGCAGATTGCTGATGTGGTTATTTGGGATTGATGCTCTGTTCTGTGCCAAGCTTCCACTCTTGGACAGACGTCGTCACCTTGGAATCTGTTATACTTTGACCTATAAAGGAGTTCACGGTCGACTCAGTGACTACGAGCTGCTCTGGCAGCAGAACAAACCCTCGCAGCTCCATCACCTCCTAGAAAGTCGATCAACTGTCTTAAATGGTTTGATAGCTCTTTCTCACTGCAGAAAGATTAAATCCACATTAGTTAGATGAAGGCAGCGTTGCTTCTCTAAGGTCATCACTAATGTCCTTATTGTTTAGCATTATTTTAACCCATGCAGAGATGCTTCAGACCAGCAAACTTTAAAAATGTCTGCTTTGTTGCTCTTTTTGTTGCTTTTTTTTGGTTCCAGTTGTTTTTGTTTAAACTTTTTTTGTGCCTACTCTGCACACCCACACTATGGTTATGACCGCGACGTATTTTTGTAGTTTTGTGTGTTGCTGCTTTGCCATCGTGCCATCGTGGGTCAGTCCTTCCAGCCTTGAGCTCATGCCTGTCATGGCGGCTGTCTCCACGATCCTCCTTCAGCCTGCACGGACCGAACTCTACAGAACAGTTTGGTTCCACAGGGAAACCTTGGATGTCCTATGTCTGCCAGACTTGTTTCTGGAGGGCAGTCATCGTCTGTTGCTGCTATCATTGTTATCACATGCTGCTAATGCTGCGCTGCTAACAAGACCACACCGCTAACAGAACCATGTTGCTAAAAGAACCATGTTGCTAAAAGAACCTCACTGCCATCAGAACCACTCTGCTAATAGGACCATGCTGCTGTAGACTTTTTTTTTTTTTTTTCACTTATGGCGCCTTGTTTTAGTAGTTTTGCTGCATGCTTTGGTATTTGTTTTTTGGGTTTTTTTGGCGAGTCGAGACGGTTCTTCTCGTCCTCAGCATTTCGTTGCATTGTTGACCTTGTGTTGATCTGCATATGACAAATAAACCTAAACCTTTACAGCGCTGCTCTGATCTGTAAATTCACTGCATTTGATGAAGAGCACTCGGCTACTACTGATGCTCTAAATTCAGATGTAAGCAGTAAAGGTGGCTTCTGAGCTTTAGATGATTTTTTCATTAAACCAATAATGCGTTGATTGTATTGTCCAGCTAAGCTTTTATTTGCTTTGTTTAAAGATCTGGTAAGAAACTGTATTTTTTTTCTTGCTATTCTAAACCTTAGAATGAAACAACTTTTTTTCGTATTGCTGTATTTCTCCATTTCTACAGTCAATTTGGAGCATTTGTAAGTGATGACAAGTTCACTTTAGATCTCCTGATTCTCCCGTCCCTGCAGGCGGACGTGGCGGTGCTGGTGGTGGATGCCAGCAGAGGAGAGTTTGAGGCCGGCTTCGAGGCCGGCGGTCAGACCAGGGAGCACGCTCTGCTGGTGCGATCGCTGGGCGTCACCCAGCTGGCCGTTGCTGTCAACAAGATGGACCAGGTCAGACCCGCCAGGAGTGCTTTGATAAAAAAAAAAAAAAAAAGTATTGCCGTGTAATGAAGGGTTGGATGAATGGACAAATATATCATCCATCAGCAACTTGTCTGGTGTTAAACAATAATTTCCACTGTATTTTTGCTAGTGTGACTTTTTCTTTTAAGAGTTTGGCCTGTAAAAAAAAACTAAGCACATAATTTCCTGCAGCAGCAAAGCCTCTGGTTTTCCTTCACCCACTCCGCCTACTGATGGACACCTGCTGAGAGGCTCTTTTATTACTCAATGAGGATCAGAGTCATTTGTTTTAAGTTATCAATTCTGGTAATAAAATAAAATAAAAAGTCAAAATGACAAGATACAGGTCAAATAAACTTGTTAGGAGAAATATTTGTTCTAAAAAAATCATCTGTTGCTTAGCTGCTTAGGCAACTGTATAACTAAAAAAAAAAGTAATACTACTTTTTAATGGCCAACCCTTGAAATTTAATCATTTATTTCATGTTACAAGTTTGAAGCAAGTCTTTTGTTTAAAACAAAAGTCATCCTTGTTTTCTTTTTGGTCACAAACAGGCTACACCTCCACAGTTGTATGGAGAACAGAGTTATCCTTTTAGAAGAATTCATCGTGACTGTTGAAGTGATGCTGGACGACCGAGACATTTGAACCTTTCATCCAGCCACAGTTTAATCTGATACCTATGGTAAAACAGTGCGAAAACAAAAAAGATACTCCTGTAGAGTTGATCATGATTTTTAGAGAGAAGAGGGGAACACAGCAGGAGTTTGTGAGAAGCAGTGTGAAAGAACACTCACACCAAATGAAAACACTTTATTCTAGTTTTATTTTTATTGTTCTTAAAGACAGAATAGCTGTCAAGATATATGATTTTCAGTGCTTATAGCTTCTACATCATTAAATGACACCCCCCCCCCCCCAAAAAAAAAATTTTTTTTTTAAAATTTTTTCCTTGCAGCTTTTTTTTTTTTAATTTCTTTTCAGCAGAAGAGAAATAAGATCACTTTTTCCTATTCGACCTGATGTCTCTGACCGTTCTGTTCCCTCTGACTCAGGTTTCAAATGTGAACAAACAACTCGTAATTGTCTCTGCTGACTTCTCTCATTTATTTTAAATTGGGTGGAAAACTTTTACTACTGAATGACATACTTATTGGTTACTTTTATCATAGATAACATGCATGCAAAACATTTGGATGACAAACAAAGAAAAATCATGTGTTATGACAGATATTCTGGCTTTAAGGAAACTCTTGACTCAGTTTCAAACAGTGTTCACAGATAAATGTTTGAACTAATTAACATTTTAGAGTCTTGTTCATAATTCGTCTTCCCATTGAACAAGTGGCTTAAAATTATTATCAGACGTACTGTAATTTCTGGACTAATGTGTGCACCTGAATATAAGCCCCACCCACTAAATTTAAAAACACAGTAGTCCCTCGTTTATCGTGGGGGATCTGTACCCTGAAGACCTGCGATAAGTGAAAAACCGTGAAGTAGGAATAGTAGTACAAGTAGTAGTTTATTTTCATATAGATATATATGATACATATTTATTAAGGCATTTTAAACCCTTCCCACATTCTTGCAATATCCTAAACAATGTTTTAGAACTCTAAACACTGAGCACAGAATGTGATGATTTCAGCGCCCTGCCTCCGCTGCTCTCAGCCACCTGTAAGCACTCTTGGCCACGCCCACTTCTATGCTCTGCACGGTGAACAGCTGTTCAGTTGCAGCACAAAGATGCTAAATAATTTAAAATAATTTATTTTAAATAAAAATTTTGTGACAGTTGTGCGGCTCATCCGTCAATCAGTCAGTTGTGTGTCATATCCAATCTTATTTTGAAAAACCGCGATAGAGCGAGTCCGCAATAAATGAACTGCAAAGTAGCGAGGGACTACTGTATATATACATATATATTTTTTGTACATATATAGGCTGCACTTGTCTATAAGCTGCAGGTGTCCACGTTGTAACATGATATCTTTACACAGAAAGATTTTTTTAAACTTTTAATTAAATATGTACCCGTAACATACACAGATGCATACAGTACTTCTTTTTTTTTCTGAACAGTGCCTGTAACTCGTCTGGTTATAAAAGCAAAATACAGTAGACCTGTTCAGTAATTTAATTGGTCAGATTATTTTTTTTTTACTTTATTTAAACAGGTAGTCTCATTGAATCACAAGGACCCAGCCCCCAAGAGAGACGTGTATTGGGCAGCTATTTGAGCGCCCGGGTGTGACAAGGCTAAATGTTTTGGTGGCATGAAGATTGTTAGCCTGTAAAAAAAAAAAAATAGCCACTGCATTTTATAAGCTGTGGGGTTCAAAGCCTGTGAAAAAAAGAAGCAGCTTATGGTCCAGAAATTACGGTATTTAATATAAGGAATTTTACATGAATTGTTAAAATAAAAATGTTTTTCTGACTCAAAACAGGTACTTTTCCTTTTCCACAGAAACGTAAAATACATGTTTTGTCTGTAAATAGTTAATGGACAAAATTTCTGTCATGTTTAGGTTTTGGTTTTACCTTGCAAGCATCATTTTAAGAAGGATCAGATGTTTGCTCACAGTCATTTACGTGTTTTTTTTGTGTGTGTGTGTGTGCGTGTGTGATAAAGTTTACAGTTTGCTAAAATAACAAAGCTGCTTTTGATGGTTTTCTGCTCAAAGATGCTCAATTTATTTGTTTTGTTCCCTCCAGATGTTCACATCAGGACAGGAGGCAGGTTTTAATTTTATTTTTGGGAACACGTTTCGTGTTTTTTATTGCAACAATCACCGTTATGTTGTCATCTCGTTTTCATTCCAAAGCTGAGCCGAAGGGGGAACTTTCTTCTTGTTTATATTTCCTTCTCTGTGTGTGTTTTACAAATCAGGTGAACTGGCAACAGGAGCGGTTCCAAGAAATCACCTCCAAACTGGGCCATTTCCTAAAGCAGGCAGGATTCAAGGTAAGTGGATTCACTTGAATCTTTCTGCACAAATCAACCTATTAGGCTATTTCTGCTCCAAATTACGGACTAAATAAGAAATTTATACAGAAATGTTTGCTTTATCCAAATCATTGTGTTTTTCCAGGAGTCGGATGTTTTCCTCGTCCCCACCAGCGGCCTGTCGGGTGAAAACCTCATTAACAGGAGTTCAGTACCGGAGCTCACGTCTTGGTACACCGGAGCCAGCCTGCTGGAGCAGATCGGTAATCCACCACGCTTTTATTGCCTTTTAACACCCAGAAACAAGCTTTTTGAGATGGAATTAAAACAACAGATGAAGTCCAAAACTTAGTCACCAGGTTTGAGCTTTGTTGTTTTTGTACAAGCTGACGTTACAAAGTATAAATTAAAATCCCAATAAGACTGTAAACGTTGAAAGCTTTTCATAAAACGAGTTTCCCTCTGAATGATCCTTTAGACAAGAAGTGATCACTTGGATCTGCATTTGTAAAACAAACTCAAAGGTGTTTTTTTTTTTTTTTTTTCAAGAAATGAACGTGTTAGCAGCAACTAGTGTTTTATTGTTGTTGTTTTACTCTGCAGCTCATTCAAAAGCAGATCTGTGTTGAAGAACTTTATGCAGGCTAAAATAAAAGTCAGGTGATAATTAAAGGTTTAATAATAGTTGAACAAGCAGCTGTAGTTATTTATTTTTCAAATGCAGTGAATAGAAAATAATGTGGTTCTGAAATAACTTTGTCTTGGGATGAGTAAATGAGCTTTAAATGTAGACAAAAGCAGGAGTACAGTTGGTTTGCGTTCAGATTTTCTTGCAGCTTTACTGTGGTTTAAACTGACCCCGACACTCAAGGAAGATCCATTTCAGTTTGGTTCTTGTTGCCTCTTTGGGAACAGGTTTGCTGTAAAGTCATGTGGCTTTTAATAAAGAAGATTCAGGAATAGGTACCATAAACTGACCTTTGGGCATAAAGTAAAGCTTACTTTACAGTTTGGGTTGATCATCAGTGATTTATGAATTTTCAAAGTCTTGTTAAAATTGCTGTATTTGTCGCAGCTGTCTCGTTGTGACTCGGGCACCTGGTAGTGACCTTTATACCATTATAATATCATCATAATGCCATTATAATAATGATCTCGCCTTACTTTGTTGTGACTGGAAGCCATTAGGACTCCATTGATGGGAGCTGCCAGAGCCTGTGCACTGGGGATGTGGGGCTTTAAGTCCCGCCTACTTCCCCGCACACAATTCTGGTACTGTATGACCCTACGTTTAAACATTAAATTACTAATAATTACAGCTAAACTTGTAATATGTGAACATACAGCAGCAAGATAAGAGAATATCTGAGAGGTTTTTATTAATACCGAGGGCAAAGTACTGTTCCTTTATGTGGAGGGGCGGGACTTAAAACTTGCACTGGGACTACCCTTTGAGGATGCGGGTCACCTTCTGGGATCTCATCTGGGGTCCACCATTCTGATGGCATTGACGTACCAGTAATTCAATTCAGTTCAGTTTATTTATATAGCAGCAAGTCACAACAGAAGTCATCTCAGGGCACTGAACAGAAACATTCATATATATAAAATAATTTAACATTATTTATCTGAGGAGCAGACTGTTTTTTCATCACAGACTCATCTTGAGCAAGCATGAAGGTGACAGTGGAAAGGAAAAACTCCCTCATGAGGAAGAAACCTTTATCAGAACCAGGCTCAGGACAAGCGGCCATCTGCTTCGACTGGCTGGGTTTGAGAGGAACAGGAAGAAGGAACAGATACACAATGGCAGGTCGAGAATCACATGTTAAGATAGAAATAGTATCAAATGAAAACTATTCAATTTTAACAAATTATTTAAGGAAATGAGGTCAATTTGTCCTCCAGTAGTCTAAGCCTATAGCAGCATAACAAGCCAACCCTAACTATAGGATTTATCAAAAATGAAAGACTTAACACTGGACAATGTGTCAGCCTCATGGACAGAAACTAGAAGTTGGTTCCACAAGAGAGGAGCCTGATAACTGAAAGATCTTCCTCCCATTCTGCTTTTGGAAACTCTAGGAACCGCAAGTAAGCCTACAGTCTGAGAGCGAAGTGCTCTGATAGGAAAATATGGAACAATAAGATCTCGAATATAAGATGGAGCTAGGTTGTTGAGAGCTTTGTAGATTAGAAGTAAGATTTTGAAATCAATTCTGAATTTGACAGGGAGCCAATGAACAACACAAAGTTGTTTCTTAATAGTGCTTTTCCTGTCAGCGTTCCTGTTTTTTTTGTTTGTTTGTTTGTTTTTTGGACACATCTACTACTCACCATCCCTGTCTCTAAAAACAAAATAACTGACAATCCCTGCATCTGTCTGTCAAAGTAATTTATTTTGAAAGGATTATAAGGTGGAAACTATTGTCACAGGTGAGCTCAGCTGTACTGTCAGAATCTCTGCATCATTGATTCATTGGACGTGTGAAAATGAAGGAAAATAAGATAAACAAAGTCTCCGTACCTGAGGCATCTGTCTTTAGAGGGTTTTCACCTGCAGGACTTAAGACGAATGAACTTTAATTAACCACAAGTCCTCATTCCAACGATGTGGACCTGGGAGTTTTGGAACAGGCACCACTTATAAAGTCATAAATCAGCAGCTCGTTAGGATCCTTACTTGATGTTTTTTTCTTGCAGTTTTGTGCTGAATGCAATACTTTGCATCTTTTTTGTATTTGAGTGAGGAATACTTTATCTCCATCTACTTTTCATCCATAGTTGCTCAGTGCTCTGCCACCGGTGCAGCCATGTTTCTGAAATATTATTTTGACAGATGGTTTTAATTCAGACCGGACATTTACCAGCTGAGTGCCACTTCATGAAGCACCGACTAACTTTGTAAAGATTTGCAGAAACATTAACTCATCAAACGTATTTTATTGTCTCTTGATCATTAAAGTGCGGACCCCCCACTCTCAGAGAAATGATTCAATAATCACATGCAGTCAGACCTTTCACAATGTTTACTACATGTTCCTGCCACCTGTTGTTTACTTCCTCTTCTACTGTTCTTTGTTTCCTTCTCTCTTTAAGATGCATTCAAAGCCCCTCAGCGGTCTGTAGACAAACCTTTCAGACTGTGCGTCTCAGACGTGTTCAAAGGTAAACGCCACATTAAATTGTATTAACGAGCCGCCCCGTGTCTCGTGTAAATGTTTGTAACATAACAAACGCAACGCAACACATTTTTGGTTTGTTTGTCGCTGTCTCTGCAGACCAGGGTTCAGGCTTCTGTGTGACTGGGAAGATCGAGGCCGGTTACATTCAGACTGGAGACAAAATACTGGCAATGCCGCCCAACGAAACTTGCACTGTTAAAGGTATGCACATATTTGATCACGGCTGATTGACCTTTTTGTTTGTTTGTCTTAAAATAGGTAACAGTTGCGAGTATTAAACAAATGCAGAAAAAAGTGCAAATTTATGACAGTTCTACCTGCATTATTATTTTTTATGCATCTGTTGTTACACATGATAAACACTGCCCCCCTGTGGCCAGTGGTGGAAATAAACTGTCTCTTTTTAGGAATAACTCTCCACGACGAGGCTCTGGACTGGGCTGCAGCAGGAGATCATGTCAGCCTCACCGTCACTGGCATAGACATCATCAAGATTAAGTAAACAAATGAAAACGAGACAAATGACATTCAAAACAGCAGCTGTCTTAAAATAAATGTTTTCCGAATCATTCTTATAATCCGTTCTGTTTGGTGTTATGTGATTCATAACGCTGCACAATCTGCAGTTTTGAATAAATTCCTTCGCTCTGTTTTCCATGCAAATCGTCTTACGTGCTTCCCTGCAGTGTCGGCTGTGTGTTCTGCCATCCAAAAGAGCCGATTCGGGTCTGTACTCGATTCCGAGCCAGAATCCTCCTCTTCAACATCGAGGTTCCCATCACGCAAGGCTTTCCAGTAAGTGCCCCAAACAGATCCAACCGAGACCTCCTGTGAGCTTCTTTTCTAGAGGTGTGATGCAACATGAGTGCTTTTTGTTAATTTTTTTTTTCATATTTCCCTACAGCTAATGAGCAATTGCATTTGTTAATAAATAAGAGTAGATGTGCTCATTTCTACTAAAACTTGTATGTTCAAAGAATTATCACCTCTTATTTCTCAGTATCTGAGGTAAACAAAATAAAAAGCATGAACAAACATACAACAACGCAAATATTTCTTAGTTAACACCTGCCTTTCATGGAGGTGAGCGATAGCCAAGGTTTGCGTGTTTGTTAGTAAAATATCTCATGATCCACAGAACAAGTGTGACAAGTCTGTGAGAAAGTAATCACTGATTAACTCGAGGCAACCCACTTCAAGATGGTCGCTACAGCTAATCAACAACAGCAAACACAAAATAGGTCACAACTGATCATTCTTTACAGTTAATAAGCTAAAACCTGGTGTGGTAGTAGCTGAGAGTGATTCCCAGCACATGCTCTGAGCACCAGCAGCTCTTTCTTTAAGATGCTGGTGTAAGGTGGTGAGTGACTGTCATTCATTCAGTGAATTTTAGTTTAATTAGATTTTTTTTTCCTTAACTAAACATGATATTTGCATGTATTTATTTTGACCCTCAAACAGTTTCTGTGTGGAGTTTGCTCCTGTTTATTTAATTTTATTTTTTTCAATTTGTGCATGCTTTACATGGGCAACTGTGGCTGAGTGGTTAGAGCAGTTGTCCTCTAATGCGAGAGTTGGGGGTTTGATTCCACCAGCAGTCAAATGCCGATGTGTCCCTGGGCAAGACACTGAACCCCTCATTGCCTCTGATGTGTGTCCCATCGGTGCATGAATGTGATAAAGCTCTGATTAGTCTTTGTAGAGATCTAGTAGAGTGCTGTATGAGTGGGTAAATGAGGGCACAGATTGCAGCGCAGAGAGTTTTGTATATCTTGAGAAGATAGAAAGGTGCTTTGAAAGTACAGTCCATTTACTATTTTCAAAGCAACCTTCACGGCGTGTGTTTCTGTAGGTGTTGCTGCACTACCAGACCGTCAGCGAGCCGGCCACCATCAGGAAACTGATCAGCATTCTGCACAAGAGCAGCGGTGAAGTCCTCAAGAAGAAACCAAAGTGAGTAATAGCAACATCAGATCTTCTTTTGGATTATAAATCTACGCGTCAGTCACAAACAGTTACTCAGCTGTGGTTTTTCCCTGAATAAAACTATGCAGCCAGATACTGTTGTCCCTCGACTATCGCAGGGGTTCTGTTCCAGATACCACCGCGATAGATGAAAAACAAGTAGGAATACTTTTTTTATTTTAGCATTTATATATATTTTGAGGCTTTATAAACCCTTCCCACACTCTTGCAATGTTCTTAATGTTCTAAACTCTTAAACCCACGTAATTTTAACAACATACTTGTATTCAGTTCAGTTTATTTATATAATGCCAAGTCACAACAGAGGTCGTCTCAGGGCACTGTGTGGGTCTTCAGGTCTCTCTTGTAAATGAGTCCCCAAGTCTCAGTAGGACTAACCTGTACAAATAAAGGTGGAATGAATGTGCTTTAAAGTACTGCAAAATTTTACTCGCCAGCGCCGCAGAACAGCAGCTCAGTTCCGGTTCAGCAAACCTACCCTGCAGCGACGAAACCCACCAGGTTGATGTGCATGTGGATGTTTGAGCTTCAGGATGATTTACGACTTTCCTGCCAGTTCTGTCAGCTTAATAGAGAGATTGTTACTTTTGACTGCAATGCTAAACTTTCCCTCCATTTTGGAGAAAGCAGTACTGTTGGCTTCTGGGTAGTGTACCGTATTTTCCGACGTATAAGTCACAGTTTTTTGCATAGATTTGTCAGTCCTGTGACTTAGATACTTTTTTTTTTTCCATATTTGTAATGCAGTTTTTGACTGACGGTTTAAATTTCGAAAAACTGCAACAGCGAGTCCTCCCGTGCCCGCTCGCTTCACTCAGCTGGTTCAGGAGGAGGAACGCTGGAGAAATAGTGGCTCCGGCTGCGATGGGTGGTGCCGCGCCGCCCAGGCAAAATGAAGCTGTTTTGACCATTAAATAAACGCGATGGGTCAGCGGTGACGCATAATAAATGCGACTTTATGCCGAAGCGACTTACCGTATATATATATTTTTTTCCTCTTCTTGATGCTTTTTTTTGATTGATGCAACTTATACGCCAGAAAATACAGTCGTTCTTTTGACCTGCGTTACAGTGTAGGCTTATTGAAAGAAAACTACAAGATGGCGGCGCTTGTCCCAAGTATTTTTTTTTCCCCCTTAACTTTTTATCCCGTACCGTCCCAATCACGTGAGTAAGATTAAAGTTGACAATCGTGTGTCGTGCACAATCTTACATTGAAAAACTGCGAAAGAGCGAGTTCGCGAAAGTCAAACCGCGAAGTAGCGAGGGACTACTGTAGAGTAACGATAAAGTCGGGTGGTCGGAACAGTTGGTGGGCATGGTTCAGGTTTTTTCTTGCATCAGAAGTCTCTCAGATGCTTCGCCTCGTTTCCTAAACGTGAGTCGCTGCTCAGCGTTATTCCTCATGCGTCTGCTCCTTGTCTAGAGGGTTAGACCTCGTGTAGGCGTGTTGTTGACCTCGTCTGTGTCTTTTGTTGTTGAGGTGTTTGAGTAAAGGCATGAATGCTGTCGTGGAGATCCAGACCCAGAGGCCGGTGTCTTTAGAGCTGTACAAGGACTTCAAAGAGCTGGGCCGCTTCATGCTGCGATACGTCGGCTCCACCATCGCTGCGGGGGTCGTCACAGAGGTAAAACGCAACGAAGGTTCGGAACAAACTACTGCAGGCGCTCGTTAAAATATAATTTGATGTTCTGCGACGTGTTTTATCTTTACTTCAGATCAGAGAATGAAGGTTCGTTTCTACCAGCACAGAGCCCGTCGGACTGAACAAATTCTCCCGGAGGTGCCGCTGTGGAATCAGAGATTCTTTTTCCTCTCCATCCAGTTCTCCTGTCGGTGCGGCGGCTTCGTCCAACACTAACTTCACAAACATGTCTCTGTTTAACCCACATCAGACTAAAAAAAAAACCAATCTGTGCTCTCACTGAAGGAACTGCAGTTAATTATTATTGTCAGACCATCTGGATGACTCCTGCGCTCTGCTTCATTTTAGTTAATGAACAAAACTAAATTCCTCTCTTCATATTTCAACATTCAGCTCCCAGTTTAAACTGGGACACGTTGCTCCAAATGAAAAACTGAATGAAAACCTGACGAAAATGTTGCGTCTCTTGGGACTGGATGACAAAAAGGCTTGTTGAAGTATTTTTTGCATTTTGAGTTGCATCGCTGCGAAGAAATGATATGGATCAACGCCTGCTCTCTCCCAGGCGGTCGTTTGTAAAGCAAAACGAAACAATGAAATTTAATTTACTTAGGAGAGAAAGACAAAAGAGCTTGAAAGCTTCCACATGAAAATAAAAGTAAAGCAGCAAACGTGACATTTTAAGGGCTGACTTTTTTTGATGGTTAAAGTCTTTTTGTTTGTTTGAATTCAGGAGATGTTAAATGAATTTCACATCAGCAACTTGTAGTTTGCCTTTTGGTCAAACTGATCCAATCAGTGGAGGAGAACCTCTATCATGTACCAGATTTACAGCGTGACAGTCCTGCATGGCCACAAACCTGATTTCTGTTCAGTCCATAACGCAGAAATGGGACGGCGTCCACTTCCTGTCAGCTGTAGAAGTGACATGCTGCAGCTGGTCTCTGCACCCCAGACAACATGTCCTTTAACGTACAGAAAGAAGAATCAAACGCACACGTTCTGCAGAATAAAATGAGATGGCAACACTTGACCTGAGCTTGGTTTTCTGTTTCCTGTTGATGTGTTTGTTCCACTACAATAATGATACAGGAAGGACAGAGAATAGATCTTGAGCCACTGATGACATTTAAACTTTTTTTTTTTTAAATTAAGGCTATCAGATTTATTTTGATATCATGTTTTAAACAAAAATTTAGAAGAGTTTGACATTTTGGATTTACTATAATTACAAATATTTGCCACGTTTGCTTCCAGAAGAGTTTCATAACCAGGGACACTTCAACATGCGACTGCTGGTGGAATCGAACCCCCAACTCTTGTATTGGAGGACGACTGCTCTAACCACTCAGCTGCCCCTACGTTGTACCTTAGAATGATATAACACAAACTTTATTAAAATTAAATTATTTACTTTTTCTGTTTTGAATAGGATTTATAAACAGAGTCACAGCTGGGTTATATTTTTATTGAAAACTCAAACAGCTGTTTGCACAGGTTGAATAAAATTACAGTTAAAGGGACACTTCAGATTTTTAAAAAGCGGGTTTCTGTGAAAATACAAGTTTATAATAAATATCTGCAGTGGTTTGAACCAAAGCAAAGCTGAAACCAAAGCAGTTTATTTTTCAGTCGCCGAAGTGAACTGAACTGTAATCGAAGGCTGGGACACCCATCAATGAGCACCCCCACCCCTGACTTGTTGGGCAGCAGTACAGTTTTTAAGCTCACACCTTCCATGTCAACGAATGGGGCATTTCCTTAACCAATTAAAAAAACATCTTAAATAATCTGTGACAATTCAGTATTATTTTTCTAATTCTCCTTCTCAGAAGCTTCAAAATGATTCGTACTCATTGAAGTTTGTCGATTTGTCTCCTAGCCTGACAACAGGCTAGTTTTATTAATTTTAGTTACGGTAAAAATCTATATTGTGTTTTGTGCAGCAGAGTCACTATAGTCACTATATTTTAAAATAAGGCTCAAGGTTATTTATTGTCATTCACATCACACGTGGTACATGAGGTGGAACAAAATGTACCAGTTACACCCAAAAATAGCAAAAATTTAAAGTATAAAAAAAGAATACATGGATCTAAGATATATACTAAACATTAATAATGTGATATAACACAGTGTATTGAACAGCAGCCTGAACATATAAGAGTGGAATATGAAATTTACAGGAATATAAAAGTTTATATAACTTTCACATCAGCTTCTAGTACATTTCAGAGACGGGAGTTGTTTTAAAACCACTCTTTGGTCTCAGCTCTACAGCTTTATTTGTATATGTCTGTCAGGAGTTTTGTTCTTTTTTTTAATCATTTTAGAATATTTCACTCCTTTTACCTTCAGAAACTCCTGGGTTTCTTTCTCAGAAGTCTTCTGCTCTGTGAGCCACTTTGCCTGCATGTGGTTGAATCCAAGCAGAAAGAAGACATTTCAACAACAAAACTGATTCAGATGATTTTTTTTATCAACAAACACCGGTGATTCCACACATACTTTAATTTAACTTTGTTCTAAGTGTGTCAATGTGAGTTTTCATACCCAGAAGTTTATTTACAATTTGATTTAATCTATTTAGACCAGGGGTGCCCAAAGTTGGCCCGCCAAGCTGTCCTCATTACTATATAAAAATTTACTTTGAATAATCAATGTGTTTACACTCAGTCATTCCAAGTTTATTGTTAGATGGAAAGTTGGCCCAATGACTACAGTAATGACACTACACAGCTGGAGTGACTAATTTGTGCATTCATTTTTTAAATTGTTAATAATTTATATTTTATTTTGACAGACTTCATACAGTCTCTCTGCAGTTTCTTGCTGCTGTCTAACATTTCCTTTGACAAAGCTGAGCATCATGGAGGTGCTCATCACACACCCTTCTTGAGCACCCCTAAATTTTAACTCCGCATCTCTGAAAAATTAAGAAACCATCATTAGGATTTTGTAAGGAAACAGTTCTTAAACCTTAGATTTACCAAAATATTGAATAAATGTTGAATAAACATGGAATAAATGACAACTGGGCCAGTAAAATCTAGCTTTTTTTTTTTTGCACAAGTCATGCCACCTATCAATCAATCCAGTAAGCACGTCAGCAACTGAGCCAGTCAGCAACTGAGCCAGTCAGCGACCTCAATTTTTCCTGAAGTGAATGTCTCTCACCTGCAGAGCTGCAGCGGTGTTGCATTACGAACGCTTTGCGGTCAGAGATTTCAATAATAACAGAGATTACATATTTTGTTTCATGTTAATCTACTGTAATAAACCTTTGTAAAATACACCAGAATACAGGAAATGGCATCTACTTTATTCAAAATTCTCTGGGAGAGGACCCCCAGACCAGTCCCCCACCACCAACAACAACGCAGTCTGTTCTGTTCTTTATACAGAATGGAAGGTTAAATAACTGTATAATAAATAAATGGACTTTGCTTAAATAATAATTTACATTTCATGCATTATATTATTGCATTTGGCCTGCAGCACTCTAATAGATTTTAAATTTGCCCCTTTCAATGAAAAAGTTTGGACACCCGATTTAGACAGAACAGATGAAGCTTTTTTCTGTCGCCTGCTTTAAACTAATTCATTCAACCTAACAGGTTAGTCTCACTGAGCCTCAATGACTCATTTACAAGAGAAACCTGTTTTTAACAAATGTTTCCCAGCAGTTAGTCTCTAATCCTTCTGTAACTTGGAGGAATAATCAGTCACCCCTGCAGCTGCACGACACATGTGGGAGGATCAGTCCAGGCCCAGTTAACTTTGCCCCTCTGACCTTCCTGCATGTTTGAGATATTAACCTGCAGCAGCACCGTTTGTTCTTTTACTCTGGAAAAGTCTCTCACTGCAGTCATGCCAAGAAGCTCAGAGCAGCTTTCTTTTCTGGTCCTGGAGAACTTCATCGGAGGAAAGTTTGTCCCGTGTAAGAATCACGTTGACTCCTACGACCCCTCCACCGGAGATGTCTACTGCAAAGTACCGGACAGCAGCAAGGAGGAGGTAGGCAAACCTCAGGGACACGAGCCATGCTGGGCTTTAAAGACTCTAAACAAGCTTTTTGTCTTCCCTCTCTGAGTAAAAACTTTTGTGCACAAACTGTTGAATTAATGTGTAAAGAAAAGTTGTTACTGGATCTTTAATTTTACAAAAGAAAACTTGTAATTGCAGTTAAAATATGAGCAGACGGTCTGGGGAACAACTTTTTTAGAACACTAGAAACGTTTTTGTTTCTTATTAAAAGTCCTTTATTTCAGAGGGAAGTACCTTTGCACTTTGCAGAGTCAACAGCAAAGTAATCATTAAACACGCGTCAATGAACTGTTTCTGTTTTTTTTGTCCAGAAGTGAAGGAAGTAAATCGAGTTAAAACAGAAAAGGGCAAGTCAGCAGGTTAAAGAGAATTTCATATTTCATCTAGCAGTTCTGACATGGACAGCAAGACGTTCTGGGAAAGACTTTCTTTCTTTGGGAGCTTTTTGCACGTCAGTAGTCATTTTAAATAGATGTGTTCAAAGTCTTTACTGGAACTGCAAATATACAGAAAAATGGTTTCAAATGTGTTTGAATGACCAGGATGAGTCATAACTGCTGACAACTCTTAACACGTCGGTAAACAGAAATACAACCAGAGGAAATTTAAATTCAGTGTGACGAGTACAAAGACGAGAACTACATCTGCTTGATGATAAACACAAAAAGTGGATGATGACTGAAATAAATCTGTTTTGCTAAATCTGTTAACACTTGGAGTATGTGTTGAGGATCATGCTCAGCTACTATGTTAGATTTTAGCTTGGTATCCATAAATCTGACCGGGTTTTAGCCGTTTTTGTGTTTGCTAGGGTTGATTAGCTGCAGCACTCACCTCAAACCGGTGCATCTCAAAGATAAAGAATTTAAGGACTGGTTTAAGTATAATTGATGTGGAATCTGACGTCCGACGCCTGCAGGTGGACGCAGCAGTGGCAGCAGCTAAAGAGGCTTTCCCTGACTGGTCAGCCCGCAGTCCACAGCAGCGAGCCGAGGTCCTCAACAAGTTGGCTGACCTGATTGATGCCAACATGGAGGAGTTGGTCCAAGCTGAGTCCAGAGACCAAGGTACCCTAACACAGTTCTATTGGTTGTGTCAGTTTAACCGTTGGCCAAAGACTTCAGGTAGAACTGGGTAAGGAGTTCACAGCAGGTTCTTCTCTGAACAAGATGCTTCGAATGAGCAAGAGTGTGAAAGAGGCTTCAGAAAGCTTGAACTATTAGTCACTTTAAAATAAAGTATGGCTGCCTGAAAGCAAAGCATGTCAAAAATTAGGGCTGGTGTGAAAAAGTTTACCTGCCTGGGCCATTTACTGCATAATAATAATTCCTTTTAAAGTTTTTTTTTTTTTTACCTTTCTACAACATTTATACCTATACTGGTAAAAAAGCACAAAAAAAACTTCAGTTCTCAATCTCCATTTCTACATAGTCGGGTCACAGAGACAACAGGTCCAGAAGAGAAACCCCAGACATCACTCTCTCCAGTGACATTCTCCAGTTCTACCTGGGAGACCCCGAGATGTTCCCAGGCCAGAGAGGATGCTCAGTCTATCAAAGGTCCAACTACAACGAGTGTGTTGTATGAATGTGATAAAGCTCTGATTAGTCTTTGTATAGAAAGAGTAGAGTGCTGTATGAATGGGTAAATGAGGACGCAGATTGTAGTGTAGAGAGCTTTGAGTGTCTTGGGAACTGGAAATGTAAGGTTTGAACTGGGCCTGCTGACAGGAAAAAAAGTAAAATGTAACAATTGTTGATTAAATCAAACAAGTTTGCAAATCCTTAAAAAGGAGATGATTGTAAATGATGTGAGAAAATATCCTGATGCATGCTCAATATGTGAGAAAATGTGATGTGAGAAAAGTGATTTGAACGTCTGACCTTTGGGGCAACACGTCGGCTCGTTGCCATGTCTGTTTGTGCGTACAGGTAAAACCCTGACGTTCGCTCGGACCGTGGACATTCCTCGATCTGCGTACAACTTCCGCTTCTTTGCCTCGTCCGTGCTTCACCACACCAACGACTGCTGCCAGATGGACCACATGGGCTGCCTGAACTACACCGTGCGCTGTCCGGTGGGAGTGGGTGAGCGCTCCGTGCACTTGGTGTCTGTAAATGTCCTCTTTGAGCGCGCTCTGAAACGGTGATTCTCTCAGCTGGTTTGATCAGTCCCTGGAACCTCCCTCTCTATCTGCTGACGTGGAAGATCGCTCCTGCGATCGCCACGGGCAACACGGTGGTGGCCAAACCCAGTGAGATGACCTCTGTGACCGCGTGGATGCTGTGCAGGCTGATGCAGCAAGCTGGTACGGAAAGCAGTTTAAATTTGTATTTGGGTGTATGGTAAGCCATTTGAGCATTTATTCGGTATCCTATCACATTCCTCCACTAGCTGGTAACTTTGCTGCACCACATGAATATTTGGTGACACCAGTTTGACATCTTGATGCACTCCTTGAACTAACTAATCCCACTTGTTGGTGACAGATCTGATGAATCCCAACTTGTATGTTTGTTTTTTTTACAAACTAGTTGACCATTTAGTCAATTACCATGTTTTATTAGTTAACAAGTGAGCTTCAAACACTACCATGTTAACTAGTCGTCACATATTCCGCCTCCTTCTAGCAACTAGTTGAATTTGAGCTTTACTACTAATCGAGCTCAAAATTCTCATTCCGTGCTTAAGACTTATTTTGACCTTACAAATAAAACAGTAAGGCTTAAAATGTACACTAGTCAAAGGTTAAATCTGTTAAAAAAATATTAACTATTCCAGCTATACCAAAATTGGTCTTGTTAATACAACTTGTGACTATTTTGAGCTTTATTAGTTAACTGCTAATACCCCAAAATGGTGCTTCAAGACTATTTTGTCTTTACTCCTTAGCTAGTGTGACTAAAAAGCTTTACTAGTTAGTTAATAAATTATTAAGTATTCACTAGTTGATCTGAGCAACTAACTTTGACCTTACAATGAAACTAGTAAGGCCGAATATGTACACTAGTCCATAAGTTAAAGCTGTTTAAAAATTGTGTTAACTAATATAGCTAAATAATGTTTAAGAGTTAACTAGTTATGCCAAAACTGGTCTTGTTAATACAACTTGGGACCATTTTGAGCTTTAGTAGTTAACTGGTAATACCCCAAATGGTCACTTGTAGCTTGGTTCAAGACTATTTTGTCCTTACTAGTTAACCAGGGTGGCTAAAAAGACTTACGACCTAATTAATAAATTATAAATGATTCACTAGTTGATCTGTGCAACTAACTTTGACCTTATAATGAAACTAGTAATGCCTAATATGTACACTAGTCTATAAGTTAAAGCTGTTTCAACATTTATATTAATTAAATAATGTTTACGAGTTAACTAGTTATGCTAAAATTCATCACGTCAAAGCAAATAGTGGATATTTTAAGCTTATTAGATACAAGTAAAGCCCAAACACAACTAGACACAACTGATGTCAGGGAGATTTAGGTAAAGGTTTATGGATGTTTGTCACTGCTAATGTTAAATTAATGTTGAACCATGTGTGTGAGGTGAGACAGTTCTTTTTCTCTCAGAGAGGAGCCTGCAGGAACCTGACGCCTCTGAGTCCGAGAGGTCGAGGTCATCGTGCTGATATAAAAAACACTTCCTGTACACCGTCCGGTTGCAGATTCTCATGACAAGGCGTTAAGCATGTAACTCTGAACATCTGTAAAAAGCCCGTTTCATGACCGTCTGCCCTTTCAAGTAAACTGGGTTAAAAATCTTCTCCTGTCTTTGTATTGCTCCTTTTGTGAGTAGATAATGAAATTATATTTTTCTCCAACAAATAACAAAATGGGCCTTATTCTTGCAACTGCTGCATATTTTAGGTTTTTATCTATTAAAGCTTGAAATGGTCACCTGTAGACTAACTCTCGACTATTTTGACCTCACTAGTAAACATATAAACGTTTTATGTGCACCAGTTACCTAGTAAGTTTAAATATATTCACAGGTAACACTGATGGCATTGTTAGTTACCTACTAAGGTCCAATCACCATTTTAACCTGGTTACAAAAATGTCTCTGTGGGAAATTCCTGTTTAAACGAAAGATAAAATTAAATGAAAATGCTTTAACTGGTGGACTAGTCAGGCTCATTTTAACTTGGTTAGTGTGGCTTTAAGTCCTAGCAGGGAGCTAAAAACAACTCAGCACTTTCTGCAAATTAAAGGGAAGAAAGGAACTCTCCAAAAAGTCATAATGTTTTGGCTCATCCCCCCCATTATATATTTTATTATGAATCATAAAACTGCACCATTTCTTACAAATTATTTTCCAACTACAGCTCTAATTCATTTACTAAAGTAGTGAGGAGCACGTGGATTTGTATTTGTGCTGCAGGCGTCCCTCCAGGTGTGGTCAACGTTGTGTTTGGAACTGGTCCCAGAGCAGGAGATGCACTGGTGGCTCATCCTGATGTCCCCTTGATCTCCTTCACCGGCTCCACAGCCACCGCCCAGCGCATCACAGAGCGGAGCGCCCCGCACTGCAAGAAGCTCTCCCTGGAGCTGGGAGGGAAAAACCCGGCCATTATTTTCGCCGACGCAGACCTCGAGCCGTGTATCGAGACGACCGTCCGCTCCAGCTTCTCCAATCAGGTGAGAGGATGAACACTGGGGGCTCTTCTATTTAATGCATCATTTCAGCCTCACAGAACTATGGAAGCCCATTTCCGTCATGAAAGAAAAAATAAAAGCACACAAGAAGTCATAATTTTGAGTTTTAAAGTCAGAATTATGAGAATAAAAGTCATAATTTTGAGTTTTAAAGTCATAATTATGAGAATAAAAGTCATAATTTTGAGTTTTTAAGTCATAATTATGAGAATAAAAGCCATAGTTATGAGTTTTAAAGTCATAATTTTGATTTTTCTAATTTAATTTCAAAGTTTGTCCCTTGCCGGACACCGTGACTTTATTGGGATCGGGATGCAACTTCCTGTCAAACACCGGAAGTTTTCCTGCATATATTCATTCATTCAATTTTTACGTCCCTCTGCCTTCAAACATCAATCCTTTTAAATAAAGGTAATGTATACATCTTTTCATCGCCACTTTATATAGTATTTAGTATCGAAGCCCATTTCCGTTATGAAATAAAAGTCCAACAGGAAGTCATCATTTTGAGTTTTAAAGTCATAATTATGAGTTTTAAAGTTAAAATTTCGAGTTTTAAAGTCATAATTATGACTTTTAGTCTCCTAATAATGACTTTAAAACTCGAAATTACGACTTTTATTCTCATAATTATGGCTTTAAAACTCAAAATTATGACATCCTGTTGTGCTTTTATTATTTCTTTCATGGCGGAAATGGGCTTCCACACAGAACAGCTTCAGCTGTGAGGTGTTGGGTCTGCTTCATGGTCACTATGGTAGTTCTTATTTGATTTAATGTGAAGATGTTGATTTTCTCACAACACATCATATCATCTAGAGCACGGGTGTCCAAAGTGTGGCCCGAGGGCCACTTGCGGCCCTTGCAGTGATTTTGTGCGGCCCCACAGCTGCGGTTTAAGAATGATGTCATTTTGGCCAGCAGGCTTAACAGGTCGATGCAGACTTTCTGCAAATTATAGTTGGTAATTATATTTTATGTAATGTTTAGTTTTAATAGCAAAGCGGATGAAAAATAATCTTCTCAAAATGAGCAATATTAAGCAAAATACAAGCTTTTGGCTGTAATCTTTTTATTTTCACTTCATGGTACAAAGCACCACAAACCTTTTCTGATTTCTACCAGAAAGGAGACTTTTTGGATAATGATTCATAAAACGTGTCTAAATATTGCAGTTGATAAAATAACCAAGAGGGAAATTAGACATTTTTAAATGAATATAACGTGGTTGATCAACTTTATCAAACCTTCCATGAATCTGTTGTAGCGACTGACAGCTGGACGTGTTTTCAGAACTTCGATTGGCCTTTTGGGCCATCCATGGTCCAAAAGGCTCACGGACCCCCTTTTAAAAGGACAATTACTCAAATCGAGCTTTTGTTGTTGATAAAAGACTAATATGAATTTTCCAAACGCAAGAAAACACAAACCCAACAAATCAAATAAATCATTTTTAATATGAAAAACATAAGCTTAGCGTTTATGAGGCTTTTAATGTTTTGGATCTACAACAATTTAAAACTCTTTCTCCTCCAAAAATTAGCAAACTTTTGTCCTTTCTCCAAACTATTGTTCACGTTGAGAGTTAAATTTACATTTTTGTGGCCCACGAGTCCTTTCATCCGGATAGTTTTGGCACACACATATAAAAGTGTTTGGACACCCCTTATGTTCAGAGTTTTATCTGAATATAGAAACAAATCTGCTTGTTTATCTCAGGGAGCCACTTTTTCTTTAAAAATTTAATTCACAAGAAGGTTCCTTGATGTCAGGATCTGTGTTTTTTCTTTTTTGTAATAACCTTTAATAAATCTTTAAGATTTATCCAAGCACCTTGGTATTTGTCTGCATTCCTGGATCCTGCAGCACAAAACCCGACATATAATATATTCTTTAAATTCACTTATATAATTTAGAAGACATTGTTTCATCGGTGACAAAAATAAACAAACAAATAAATAAAGTAATTATACTTCCACCGCCGTGCTTCAAACAGCTCACTCAGTTTTACAGATGCTGAGCTCAGTTCTGACCTGGTAGTAGCTGAGAGTCATCCACAAGGTCTCTGCTGAGCGCGAGTTCTGAGTAAAGTTCATTTCCACAATGTCAAAAATCCCTATTTCTGCTATACATCTTTTTTTTTTTCCTTTTTAAAATTATTATTATTATACAGTCATCATTTAAAAGGTGCCATAACATATACATTACGTGTTCACTCTACATAGAAAGTTACAGAGAACAAACAAACAACATCAAAAAAACAAATGAATCTAAAAATAAACAACTTAACATATGGCATATTGTATATACAACATAAAAAATAAAAATCCAGGGCAACACGTTAACATATAAATGTTTTAAAAAAAGACGTCAACTTAAAAGCATTTTTTGACTTCACAACATAAATTTAGCTCATTCTTCCACTGTATAAAGTTAGAGATGGTTTTAAAGAAGTGACATTTGTAATGTTTGGCTAATAGGAGAACATTATTTATACTGTAGTCAATGTTATGATCATTAATAAAAACACCAAATTTTATCTCTTGGTTGGATGGTTAAATCTGTTAAATGAACCCAGATAAACTGACGATCCTGCCAAAAGGATTATACAGTGTCACAGGTGAAAAACAGATGATCCAACTCCTCAGTTACTTTCTCACAGAAAATCATTAGTTGGATACTTGTTGGGCTTGTTACTGCATTTGATATCACAAGAATCAACGTCTTCAATACAGAGTGTCCGTAAGAGAATGGAATATATTAATTTAAATCCTGTCGAACCATGGATTGAAGCTGACGAGGAAACGCCAACTATTCTACAGTTTAACAGAAAATGGAGTTTGTGGAAGTGGATGTAATGACACATTTTATCCACACGGGGGAGACATTAGCTCATGTTTTTCATGGCAAGATTTGACTGAAGGAAATTTCTGAGCTGTCAAGTATTATTTTCACACCTTCTCCCTTTCTTTCCTCCTAGGGAGAAGTCTGCTTGTGCACCAGCAGAATTTATGTCGAGAGGAGCATTTACTCTGAGTTTTTGGAGAAGTTTGTGGCTGCAGCGAAAAAGTGGAAGACCGGCGCTCCCTCTGACCCCAACAACAACAATGGAGCCCTCATCAGTAAAGAGCACCTGGAGAAGGTGAGTCTCGTGAAATAATGAGAATTGGCAATTGTTCAGTTCTCTTTTTCTTTAAACATCTATATTGTGTTATGCAGGTGCGTAGCTTTGTCGCACTCGCCAAATCAGAAGGTGCCACCATCCACTGTGGTGAGGGAGTTAACCAGCTGGACCTCCCCGAGCGCAACAAGTCCGGTTACTTCATGCCTGCCACGGTGATCTCAGGAGTGTCTGACAGCTCCCGTGTCATGCAAGAGGAGATCTTCGGCCCCGTCACCTGCGTCAGCCCCTTCGACACAGAGGATGAGGCCGTCGCCAGGGGAAACGGCGTGCGTTACGGCCTGTCAGCCACCGTGTGGTCCCGGGATGTGGGGAGGGTTCACCGGGTGGCTCAGCGGTTGCAGGCGGGAGTGCTGTGGACCAACTGCTGGCTTATTAGAGATCTCAATCTGCCTTTTGGAGGAATGAAGAACTCCGGCGTGGGCAGGGAGGGAGGGAAGGATTCCTATCACTTCTTCACGGAGGTGAAGAGCATCACGATCAAACACTGAGGGGAGGAGGTCTGGTGAAACCTGCAGGGCGCAGTGTTTGCAAATATAGGCCCTTTGTCACGAGATTTAGAAAACATCAGCGTTAAATCTCACTTCTTGTTCTCTTTGATTGTTTGAATTAAGTCACATCAGTAAAATCCCATGCATATAAACTAACAGGAATCTAACGTTAATGTTTAATAAAAAAGGAAATGTACAACAAAAAATGTTTTTGTTTCTTTTAGGATCTTCACCATCAGGTGGGATTCTGGGGAAAGGTTACACACTGTTAATATCTTACCTGCTCTAGACAGAGTAGCTAATTCCAACAATAATCCAAAAATATGTTAATATCTTACCTGTTGTAGATACAGTAGTTAATTCCAGCAATAAGCCATAAAGACACTGGGAACGCTCTCAATCGGTGCATCGCTGGAACTTCATCAGTTAGCTCCACTAAAACATGAATGCGTTAAATGAAGTCACTGTAACACCACAGATCAGCTTTAAAATAGAATTTAATATATATATATATATATATATATATATATATATTTGTTATTACATCAACCGATTTCTTAAGCAATGGCTTGTTTGACATGATTTATTTATTAATTTCATTATTATTATTATTGTTATTATTATTATTATGATTATGATATTTGGAGTTGTGTATCTAACTCCAGAAAACATATTTCTCCTCATCCATTGTGATTGTTGGTGCTCAGGAGGAGGGTTTGCTTGGTGGACATATTATGAGTGTTTGAATGAGAACAACAAAACTAGTTTTTCTTCGGGTGCACGTAAATACCAAAGATAATATATATTTGGGCTTTTTAAAAATTATTGATCGAAAATGGTATAGACCCTAAAACGACTGTGTAAAAACGATAATCATCCAACATCTGGCAATACTGGATCAAGGCCGAGACCAAAGTGGATTGTTGCAGACTTAAAAAAACTCCACAAAGAAGAAAAAAAAATCCAACATTTTTCAGTCAGGTCATCTGGACAGTTTCTTTTTTTTTTTTTGGCGCTGAAACGTTTCACCTTCCATCCAGAAGGCTTCATCAGTCAAGGACATGCACAACACAAAACTGATTCTTCCCCCAAACAGCTTACTCCAAAGTGTAACAAACCAGTTATGTTGGTGCTAAGATGGTGTCTTTGGCAAAAAAAACTGTCCAGATGACCTGACTGAAAATTGTTGGATTGTATACCTGGATTATTGAGCATGGACTTTGTTGGTTTTGAACTAGTTTGACATGACTGTCAACGAGGAAGAGGGCTGGCACGAGAGGAGGGGGTGTGCCAAAGACACCATCTTAGCACCAACAGAACTGGTTTGTTACACTTTGGAGTAAGCTGTTGGGGAAAGAATCAGTTTTGTGTTGTGTGTTTCCTTGACTGATGAATCCTTCTGGATGGAAGGTGAAACATTTCAGATAAAAAAAAGAAACTGTCCAGATGACCTGACTGAAAAATGTTGGATTGTATACCTGGATTATTGAGCATGGACTTTGTTAATAATAATAATAATAGTTTCAGTTTATGCCAATGCTTTGAAATAAATGTTTACATAGGTGTCAGGTCCAACTAAATAAGTGCTCTTGAGGGCATCAAAAATGCTATAGCCAGCTGCTGCTGCTATTTGTGCATGCAAATATGTAGAGTTCTATGTGATGAACTGTAATGTGAATTTGATGATGTGACGGTTTATAAAACAGGAAGCTCTAAAACACTTTTGAGTTTATAGCTGTTTTGAAATGGTAAGCTAACAAGCTGTTATCTTGTTAATCTGCTCTGATTTAATAGTTTTTTCTTCAAACTATAGCTGTTCAAAAAGTTATCTGATACAGGTAAGATATTTTTTGTTCATAACCTTTACAAAAAAACTACAAAGTTATCTGAAGTATAATTTTAAATGAGAAGAAAACAATTGTTGGGTTAAATAGTTCGGAATGACTAGCTTAAAGAAAATAAGCCAAGAGGACAAAAGCTTGATCAAAAATTATTTAAAAGTTTATAGCCGTATAAACGAAACGACAATAAAAAAAAAAATCTTGTCAAATCTGAATTTCACTGTTCTCTCAAAATAAAACACACAAGTTTTATTATTTGTATTTATCAGGACTGTGCAGAACCTGGAATGCAACAATAGAAAACTGAAACAAAATGTCAGCTTCTGTACAAAATCATATTTTTGTGTGTTTTGCTCAACTTTAATTTTTTCCTTCATCTTCCGGCTGCTGCCTTCCTCGGGCGTCGCCACAGAGAAGAGTTGCCAATTGTTTTGACCCCGGATGCCCTTCTTGACACAGCCACCGAGCTACCGCAGCCCTCTGTGTGGAGCAGGGAGCTGCCATCTAGGGCAGGGATGGTGGGGGTTGCTCGGGGACCCAGGGTGGGGAAAGCAAGGGTGGGGGCTTCACCTTTCCTACCCACATTTTTTTATGTTGCGTTCGGGGAATCAAACCGGCGACCTTCCAATCACAAATCTGCTCCACCACTCCTCCAACTTGCTTCAGGCCAACTAGGAACCTAAAATCTGTGGCCGAGTTCGTCACAGCTGTTTGTTTCATTCAAACTGCTTCGTTTTGTTATGAAGCTGCTTCATTTGAACTCGGGCCAACAAGATTTGACTCTCCAAGTCTGGTTTGTGTCATCATACGGAGCATGGTTGACCCACAGTCAGTAAAGGCTGCTTCTGATGACAGATTAACGCTTCAGTTTGTCCTCCTTTGCAGCTGCTTTGCTTTGCAGTCCGATCCTGAACACGATGACACGGGCGGTCAAAGTCTGCCGTCTCCTGTGCGTCACACACACTTTACGGTCTGCACTGATTTAGGTCACTGTTTGACTTGTTTTTATGTGCGACCTGCTGACGTATGTAAGGAGAACAATATCTAAACCGGATGATTCACCGGTACTAACAAACACCCAATAAGGAGGATTAAAACGCAGTTGAGAAATATATTTTGTACGTAAACCTTTATCTTTATTACATTCTCTCTTTATTATGGCTTTATTGAAACCATAGAAACAACAAATGTGAATTAAATGTGTTGCTTCATCAGCTTGTATTAAAGCTGTCCAGTCATGAGCAATAATTTGTTTTCTAGCAAACGTCAAGGACTTATATATTCAAATTAACTTTTAGTGACGGCCCTGTTGGTTGTCTTCAGTCACCATATTGTGATTTCAGACCTGTGACGTGGGGGTTACCGTAAATGATAGAAAAGCTGCCCTACCTAAAACAAATCTCCATAAATACAGGGAAATACGTGCCAATAAAAAGATATACTAATCATTTCAATCTACCGTATTGAACTTTACCAACACATCTGGATCCAGATAAGACTTTACTTGGGTCCACATCTGGACCATGGTCTGGTATACTGGGACCTATCATCTGTGGGACAAACTACAGTATAATCTAAAATCTGCTGTGACCACATGATGATGGACGACTTCCTCTTTAAAGCTCTATACGTTGTCTGAATTTAAACAAATGTAGAAAAGTTATTAAATTCTGAAAAATACTCCACATGCACTCCAATAGTCTACAAAACCCAAATAAACACAACTGGGTTAATAGGTCAAATTCAAGAGGAAATCTTTGTGTAATCTGAATCTTCACCTGCAGGTTCGACACGTTCCTGTCATGGTAAATGTTTGTAGAAGTATTATATGATCTCAGGTGAGTCCAGTCTCACAAAAAACAAACTTCTCACATGTCAACCTGCTGGAGGCAGATTGCACATTTAATGCCACTGAGCAGGTTGTTTCTTCATTGTGGAGGTCAGAGTTTTCAAAATATGTTTTTTTCTAATAATAATAATGATTTTATATATATATATATATATATATATATATATA